CAGAAAATCGTATCCACCAACATGATATCAGTCCAATTCGGGAATTTCCCACCCGTTGTAGCTCCCAATGGCGTTGTTCTTATCCCTAAGGGAGACTTACACCTAAAAAATACTGATTTGCATAGTCAAAAAGATAAAGGATTGGTATCCCTTACTACTCCGAAAGGAGAGATAGTGTGGGTCCATCCCGATCTACTTGACGACCAGCAGTGGACAAGTGTGTCAGAGAAAACTAGGGGAAAGAATGCCTAATCTTGGTATTCGCCTGGATGCTCATGATGAGACCTTCTTCATTGAACTGTTGTCTCGCAAAATGGTCTATACTGTTATCGCAGGACGAGATGCGATCTATACCTCAAAAGGCTGTTAAAGAGAAGCCTTGGCAAATTTCTTAGCTGACTATTAAGCACCAGATTCTCCTAAGATGGAGTGGGGGTTGGTTACTTGGAATTCACGGGATTAAGAATAAAGAAGTTTCTAAGTTGTTATGTTTAACAAAACACCTCTGTCAACTGTAAAAATAATCCCCAACGAAGTTAATCCTAAATTGGTAAGACCATTTGTAGTAGAGTCGGTGTAGTCGAGTGGGGCTTACTATTTCATTAATCAAAAAGACGATAGGCTCATGGTGTTAATTAACGGGAGATTTCTCAAGAAATATTACCCATGTAAATCATTTAGCTCCCTTCTTCCCCTGCTAAGTCTTAGTCAAAATTGGGGATTTATTATTTATTATTTATTATTTCTTGAACAAAATAACGAATTCTCAAAACTATCAAGTTAACAAAACACCTCTGATAATATAAGCACTTCAACGTGCACCACCACCAAAATTAACTTATCAATCTTATCCAATAAGATGATAAGACCACAAAACTATCAAGTTAACAATACACCTATGATAGTCAATTCCTTCAATAGATTGATAACACCACAAAGCTATCAAGTTAACAATACACCTATAATAAGACTACAAAATCAACTTATCAATTCCCTCATCAATCCTCTCCAATAGGATGATGGGTTTACAAAAATATCATCAAGTTAACATGACACCTCTGATGATAAAATTAACTTATCGACTCTCTTCAATAGAGAGATAAGTCTTCAAAAACCTCGTCAAGTTAACAATACACCTCTGACAACCAAATTAACTTATCAATCCTCTTCAATAGGATGATAAGTCCATAAAATTGCTTAAATTGCAACACAACCACGTCAAGTTAATAATATACCTCTGACGACCAAATCAACTCATCAACCCTCTTTAATAAGATGATAAGTCCACAAAGTTGCTCAAATCATAACACAAACCTGTCAAGTTAACAATACACATCTGATAACCAAATCAACTTATAAATCCTCTTCAATATGATGATAAGTCCACAAAGTTGCTCAAATCGTAACACAACCCCGTTAAGTTAATAATACACATCTGACGACCAAATCAACTTATCAACTCTCTTCAATAGAGTGATAGGTCTTCAAAAAACTTGTTCAAATCACAAGTGTAAAATATCATCAAGTTAACATTACACCTCTGATGATAAAATTAACTTATTAATTCTCTTCAATAGAATGATAAGTCCACAAATTTTTGTTATGTTAACACCACACCTCTAACAGTTAAACCCCCACAAACTTGTTCTTTTCAACAGAACGACAAGTGTTCATTATCAAAGCGTGAGGGTCATCCCCACGTTCCAAATTTCAAACGCGAGGGTCATCCCTACGTTCTAAATTCTAAACGCAAGGGTCACCCCCGTGTTCCAATATTAATACACGGAGGTCACCTCTGTGTTTCAAAGGCAATACGCGAGGCTCACTTTCGCGTTTCACAAGACAAACACGAGGCTCATGTTCGCATTTCAGAAGCCAAACGTGAGGTTCACCCCCGCATTTCAGAAGCTGAAGCATGGCGCTCACCATCGCATGGGTCTTGCGTGGAAAATCCCTTCAACCAAGTTCATGATACCTTCGAAACGGATGTAGTGAACAAGTCTTCCATGATGAGGAATCAACAATTCTAAGATCAAAATCGAGATCCAAAGTATTTCAAAAATTCGTTCCAATCAACCGTAAACTTTCAAAAACTTTAAAGGGGGTTCTGTAGGTTGTCTAAAAATTATTACGGATAGATGATTCTCACAAAGCACTGATGATGAGAGTTATAATCTGACAACTTTCACATCGACTGATGAAAGTTACAATCTGACGATTTTCATGATAATAGATGATGGAAGTTACAATCTGAGGATTTCCACATTAACAGACGAAAGTTACAATTTGATAACTTTTACATCAACAGACGAAGGTTACGATCTGACGACCTTCACAACAGCATATGAGAGTTACAAATTGATGACTCTCATATTTTAAAGAGTCTAATAGGATTACAAGATGATGATCCTTGCAACACTCGAAAAAAGAGATTATAAATTGACGATCTTTTTAAACCAAAACGCGAGGGTTATCCCCGCATTTTAAGTTTAAAACGCGGGGCTCACCTCCGGTTTCAAGTTCAAAACGCGAAGCTCACCTCCGCATTCCAAGCTTCAAACGCGAAGCTCAACCCCGCGTTTTATTAGTTAGACGCGAAGGTCATTTTTAAAACGCGAGCCTCGAGTTTGACCCATTCAAACACGTTTTAAACGGTTCCAAAATTATTTTGCATGTATTAAGGGCATGAAACCCTCATTAAGGAGTGATTTAAAGGGTCGGTTACACCCCTTAAACCCCTATAAATAGCTAAGAAGTCAGCTACAAAGGATCTTTTTGGGGATCATCTTGGAGGTGGGCACTCTTTGGAGCTTTTGTTAAAGCTTTGGAGCAATTTGCATTGGCTTTTTGAACCGTGTTTCGGTTGAAGAACTTGGAGATTGATTACTGAACTATTTTCAGTTAAAAAGGATTAATTTTTTTCTAAAATCAACTCTTTTACAGAGTTCTTAAACTCGTCTAGAGTTCCTAAACTCGTTCAGAGTTCTTAAACTCGTTAAGAGTTCAAAACTTACCTTGCAAGTTCTTCCTGACGTCAAGTCAAGAGGAATAGACTAACGTTCCACGAAGTGAAGTGCTCAGATCGTCAACGAGATACAAGAATCAAACTCCCATCGCCACCAAGAAGAACCCAACTTTAAACAAAGCAGAAGGTCTTCATCGATCTTTCTCTCTTTTATAAACCGGGAAATCGATAAGAGAAATTATAAAAAAAAATTCTAAGTCAGTTAGAGAGAGATTACTGTGAGAGATTGTATTTACTCTTTTTCTAAGTTAGTTAGGGAGATTAATACAAATTTACTTCTCAAATTTCTCGCAATATTTTTCCAACAAATAATCGTATCAAAGAATTAAAGGCACAGTTGGCTAGGAAATTTAAAATAAAAGATTTAGGATCTGCAAACAAGATTCTAGGGATACAAATTTACCAAGACAGAATTAATAGAAAGATTTGTCTTCCTCAAAAGAATTATTTGAAGAAAATATTGCGACGCTTTAACATGCAAGATTGTAAGTTAATTTCTACCTCACTTTCTGTTAATTTTAAGTTATCCTCCAGTATGAGTCCTAACAGTGAAGAAGAGAGGATGGAGATGTCTCGAGTACTATATGCATCAGTAGTGGGGGAAGTCTAATGTTCACTATGATTTGTACAAGACCAGACATTACACAAGCAGTGAGAGTGGTTAGTCGATACATGACGAATCCTGATAAAGAGTATTGGAATGATGTAAAGAGGATCCTAAGATGCATTAAGGGAAGCTCTAATGTCGCATTATGTTATGGGAGATCAGATTTTATTATCAATGGATATGTTGATTCTGATTATGCAGGTGATCGTGATAATAGCAAATCCATCACAGGCTATGTGTTTGCACTTGCTGGCGGAGCTGTAAGCTAAATTTCAAAACTACAGTCAGTTGTGGCTACTTTAACAACAGAAACAGAATATGTAACAGCTACACAAGCTAGTAAAGAGACGATACGGTTGAGGATGGTGCTGGAGGAACTCGGGTATGAACAAAAAAAGATTTCTCTATTTTGTGACAGTCATAGTGCTTTACATTTGGTAAGAAATCAAGTCTTCCATTCAAAGATAAAACACATTCGAGTTTGTGTCACTTCGTCTATGAGAAAGTGGAAGAAGGAACAACGGATATGCAAAAAATTCACACCAAAGACAAGTTAGCAGATTTTTTAACAAAATCAGTCAATACTGATAAATTTATTTGGTGTTGATCCTCTTGTGCTATGTCGGAGACATGAGCAACATGAAGATGACAAGATATAAAGAATGGTGTGAATGTATGATTGATACTCAATTAAATTTTCAAGTGGGAGATTGATGAAAAGTTACTGTATCTACAGTAATCACCTACACGCTATAGTAATCACCAAACGCAGACTCATTAAATGTTAATGTAGCAACACTGTAGTAACAGTGCACACCTAACACAAATTCACCTATATATAGCTCTCCATGACGTTAAGTTCTGATCATCCTAGTGTCTCCAATTAAGAGAGAGAGAGAGAGAGAGAGAGAGAGAGAGAGAGAGTTTCTCCTTAAAAAGAGAGATCGTAACTCCTAAGTTTTTCCTCATAGTGGATTCTTCTTTCATTGTCTGTGGTTTTTACCCAAAATCCATTTACGGGGTTTTTCACGTAAATCTGTGTGTTCATTTCATTACTTCTGCTTTACTATTCGATGGGAACCTGCTCTATTGGGCCCCGGGTTTGTCCCAACAACCTGCAAGTATGAAGAATAATAAAAATAATAATTCAGGGGTCAATCTGCACTTTGGGTTAGTGCAAGGAGTCTAATCCACAACAATGGTTCTAGAGGAGTTCCATCCGTATTAACTCTTCGATTATTTGTCCTTTGGTTACAACTGCTAATAGATTTCCCAGGGTTACAACAGCTTATATATAGATTTCCCGTGCATGGTGATAATTTTATGTAGTGCTGATGATCCTCGTCTCCGAATTTTTCTCTGTTTCAGTATGCCCGACTACCCTGAAAAGGATATGCAGACAGCACGGGATAAGTCGTTGGCCTTCAAGAAAAATTAAGAAAGTCGGCCACTCTCTAAAGAAACTCCAAGTTGTTATCGATTCAGTCCAGGGTGCTGAAGGGACTTTTCAGTTTAGTTCTGTATACGAAGATTTCGCGAAAATTTCGAGGCCCGATAAATTGTTATCAGGAAAGCAGACCGATCATCCAGAATCATCAAACACGCTTCAGAACCAAGACGCCAGGTTTAGTTCTCAGACTTCTTCATCGAACTCCCTCTCCTGCTCTTCTTGCTCCCACAGTTCCAACTCGAATTTGGGGGTTCATGCCCCTAAACCTGGTATAAAACAAGAAGCGCCCCAAGATGAGAACCAGATAGCCAAGCTTAAGAGAGAAAATAGTGAGGTAAAGTTGCAGGTCTCGGCTCGAGACCCACCAAGAACTCTGGTTCAATCGCAAAAGAGATCAGACGTGCTCAAGGTCAAGGCAGCGTTTGGTGAAGAAAACATCCGGTTCAGGCTGAAGCCTTCTTGGGGATTCCACGAACTAAAGCAAGAGGTATTGAAGATGTTTAACATAGATGACCTATGTTCTGTGGGTCTCAAGTACTTAGACGACGATTCTGAGTGGGTCCTGTTAACATGTGATGCTGATCTTCAAGAATGCATCGATGTGTATAAATCATCTAGTTGTGGTACTATCAAGATGTCTGTGCATCGTGTTGCAGCTCGCATGGCCTTGTTAAGCTTCGCACAACTGCACTAGAAGGGCGGCCTGGTGCACGAAGCTTCAGCTGTTTGCTGGGTTCGGGAACGGTCGGATCACTTTAGTTCTATTGTACGCAGCATTACCTTGCATTTTTTACAAAAGTCTGTTCTCATGACTCAAACACGTGACCTCCTGGTCACATCTTACTATTTTGTAAGGTAACTCTTCCCACTACACTCGACAATAATGACTGCATTGATAGACAGGTGACTGCACTGATAGTGGCTATACTGATATGTCATGTATCGCCCTCTCCTTTTTATATGATATTCTACAAAGTGTATTGAAACGTCTAAATTCGTGAGTTAATGCAATTGTTGTGTTCTTTGTCTTGTTTTTCCTATTGTTTGCATGTATAACTCTTCGTTTTCAAGTTTTACTTATTAACGAGCGAATTTTCCATCTTTTACTTAGAGAAAATGAGCAAATATGAAAGAAAAAAAATTATAGACTAAAACAAACATATTGCGTAACACCAAAGCCTTCCTTTCTTATGTAACTCACACCGCAAACATTGCCGTTGAGCCAACTGCAAGCAACAAGCTACAGCCTAGGTTTCCTCACTCATGCTTCATGCATGCCCCTTAAAGAAATGTTAGTTCTTTGTCTATAAAAGAGCAATATGCTCTTTTGTAGCCTTAGTACATAAAAGCTAGTGCCACAAGTGACCCACATGAGCTCTCTCTTCTATTGTACATAAAAGCTAGTTCAAGAGGTTCTCTCTCTGTATGTATGTATGTCTTATTATTATTATTATTATTATTATTTTGTTTTCCTTGAGAAACATTTTTTTCAATTGCAGATATTCCCTATGTATTATAGGGGTTAGTCATTTATGGTTAACAATTTGCTCAAATTTTTTATTAGCACTTGGAGCTCTATGAAATTCAAATAGCTATCTTTCCACTATTTATAGATGTACTATATGGCTTGGGTATTCAATACTTATAAGTGAATAGAGGTCTCTCTCCCAGCACGCTGAAATGGGCTCCGTCTTCAGCATATTGGCTTCACGTGACACCCACATGACGGATGTAAATAGCGAGAGGTGACTTTATTTGTAAATTCGAGGATCTAAATATTACTACTTCATGTATAGTACAAGAGCTGTGTACCTGCAATTAGTCATTTAAATTTTATCATTTCTATACATTTTCGGCAGACCAAAATTTAAAGTTTCCTCTCCATCATGTATTGCACTCAAAACTGATTCAGTCAAATTTCAAATTTACATTACAGGCTCAGCAGGCCAACGGACAAAAACAAACCCAACCAAATAATTCCAACCAAACTCTTCGATGGGGTCCGCAGCCTCATGCGCCGCCTCCTCTTCAAAATCCTCGCCTACGGCCCGATGCCCCGCCATCTGGCCTTCATACCTGCCGCCGCTATGGCCGCAGATGGAACCTTCTAGAAGGCGAAGCTCATCGTATAGGCGTAGCCAACCTCATGTCCATGGTGAGATACTGCTACCAAATGGGTGTGAAATACGTAACCATATACGCTTTCAGTATAGACAACTTCAAGCGCAGGCCTTCTGAAGTTCAAACCTTAATGGACCTTGTTAAAGAAAATGCCGAGGCTTTAATGAAAGATACGAGTATAGTGAATGAATTAGGCATTCGGGTCGAATTTTTAGGGAACTTGGATATGTTGGACGAGGAGATACGAGAAATGGTACAGAAAGTTATGGATTTGACGTGCAAGAATACTAAACTTGTACTGCTAGTTTGTTTGGCGTACAGTTCGATCTCCGAGATTGTCCGTGGAATTCAGGGCTCGTGTCAGGATAGACTTGCCAGGATGAGTGAAAGAGAGAGCGACGGTGTCGACGACAATTTGATATCGGTCGTCGATTTGGAGAAGAATATGTTCTTGTACGGGCATCCAGACCCGGATATTTTGGTGAGGACTTCCGGAGAGACGAGGTTGAGCAATTTTTTGCTGTGGCAGTCCAAGTACTCCTTGCTGTGTGCACCAAGGTGCCTTTGGCCGGAGATTTCAGTGAGGCATTTGGTTTGGGCTGTTTTAGAGTATCAAAGGAATTACGGTTATTTGGAGAAGATTAAGAAGAAAATTTGAGGGGAATGCTTGTGTTTTATGATGTATCGCAGGTATAACATGTTATTGCACTTGTGAAGCTCATTAAGATGTATGAGCTCTTAATGCTCTCTAATTCCCAAACCAGGCCAACAACAATAATATAATTAGTACACAATAAGACTTCAAATGCAAGGAGAATATATTTATTTATTTTACTCATGTGTACTCCATTTTATCAGCTCAAAAGATTAGATACAACCACAGTTTGTGGATCCTAAGGAGCTGATTATTGAGGCATCTTACTCTGAGCTTTAGCCTTGTGCCTTCTCTTGAAAACATCCTGCCTGAATCTCTTGGTTTCTTTCTGCAACTCCTTGATGGGACTATTCTTGATGCCCTCTTTCTCCATCTCCAGCATCTGCTGCCTCTTCGTAGCAGCCTTCACCGCCGCAGCTTCGTTATCTTTCTCCTGTCGACCCACCTCCTCCTATACCGTTCATTATATTGTACAATTCAGAAAGAGTAAACCAAATGCCATGTATAAAAAGTAGTCAAATTCACTAACGTAATCGCCCTGATATTTGTACATCCAAAAAATAGATCATATTTCGACGGGTTAATTGTCGACGGGCGCCCTGTACTACCCCTCTAGTTTTATTGCTGCAGATAGACCGTCAGAATGAAACTTTTGACCTTCTTACATCCGGGAGGTCTATTTGTTTGAGGGAAATAAATTATTTTTCATCAGGTGGAGATTTCGGGAGTCATCATGTAAAATGCATGAGTATTATCGGAAAGAAAACCAGTAATAGGATAAATTCTTTTTCATTGATGTCACAAGGAATCATTCAATAACAATATTATGTCACTTTTTACCCAAATAGCAATATTATGTCCCTTATGGAAAATCAAGTGGAGCCTGAAGTTTCTTCAAATATGCACTTAAATCCTTCTGTTTAGCGACAAAAAGAATGCAATTGAGAAGAAAAAGTAGATAGGGGTATACCTGGATATTTTGTATCAACGTATCAAGAGACTTTATTTTTCGATGTGGCCAACGAGGTATGCCGAATTCTCTGCATTTCCTCTTCAGTACAGTCAGTCCAATCTTAAGATTTCTCGAAGCTTCTGTCATCGGTAGGTTAAAATGTTTGGCGAGATCGGATAAAGAAATGTTGGCTACGCGATCTGTTGGGGCTCTCCTCTTCTTTGCCGAAGATCCCAGTTCTGCAAGCTTTCAATTGATCATAAGAAATGTTGATAAATTAAGAGAAATGCACTATAATGCAAGGAAAGAAAACATACTTTTACCTCATTATATAGCCAAAATCACTCAATATATGCAATTGACTTGACTTAGAGGGGAAAAATTAACCTCCTTTTGGTCTGTTTTATCAACCATAATACAGTCAAATTCATTCACAACATGTATTCTTTCTAATAGAAATCTTTCAAGATAATCCAGGTATAAGTGTGTTTTCTTTCCGTAAGAATGTGAAGTATATCAGATCCAAAACTAAAACGCATCACAAGATTAATTAATGACAAGGTTGAAATATGGGTGAATGTTGTTATTTTCAATCCTTTACCCAAGTAAGTGTGATTTTCACCCCATTATTGTCAAATTATTGATTTAAAGTTTTAGTACTCTCTTACTTACAAATAACTGCAAAACAAGTACAGCTGTATCTAGTAGAAAAAACTGCGAACCTGGCAGAAATCGATCATTTGGTTGATTTCTAGTAGAAAAAACTGCGAACCTGGCAGAAATCGATCATTTGGTTGATTCGTAACAACTTGCTGATCTTCGAGAAAAGAGGAGTCATTTCCACTAGAAGAATCGATCATTTGGTTGATTCGTAACAACTTGCTGATCTTCGAGAAAAGAGGAGTCATTTCCACTAGAAGTAGAGGATTCCTCTTCTTTCTCCTTGCGAGTTTCTTCGTTACCAAAGTTCAATGGCTCATCTTTGTATGTTCTGGACATTAAGAGATAAACCTTCCGCAGGTCATTCGCTAAATTTGGTATAGACTTCAGTTGCGGGTTTCTGAAAGAAGAATGAAGCAAATGCAGAACCATTATCATATGTTAGAACGAGAAGTAGGAACAATTAGTAGAATTATTTTCAAAAGAAACAAGTGATCATCTCATTTAAATCTCATTAAATCTTAGATACAAAGACAAAGGTGACACTGTCTCGACAATTCTTCAAAATTCTAGACTTACATCTGATACATGCTTATTAATGAAGGTATGAATTTGACATCTGTATCTGTCTTCGTGATTTTTTTTCTCATACCAAAGAATATAAGTTTGAACATACAACATCAACTTTTTGGGTTGGTGGAAAATAAAGTAAAAGCCTTATAGTTTCTAACTTCAACATGAAATAATTAAGCACTTTCCTAAAAACAATAATTATGTTCATTAGTTGATTGTAAACATTTCTCTTATTAGACTTGACAATGACCTCCCCCCGCCGGAAATAGTAAGATCTTCCTAAAAGATGAGGATACCTCATCACATTCTCCACCTTTTTGCAAACACGGCAAATCTACTAAAGACCATATATTTAAATTTCAATCAAAAAATTTTCTCTGCTCAGATTTTTAAAACCCAAATTTTTTTACCCCCTGGTAGCTAGCATGCATAGAAACAAGCTGCACAGTACAAAAATAACTCAATACTCCTCAACAGAAACCAATTCTCAAAAACTAGAGAACCTAGAAACTAATGACAGCCCCAATTAAATTAAACTGACAAAGTTCTTAAAGCAATGTATTCAACTGGAAAAGCAACCGAAAACTTTTTGTATACCTTGATAAGCAGAGCATCGAAGGAATCGACAACGAGGACGACACAACATCAGCCGAATCGAAGACGAACATACACAGCCAGAAGCCAATCCTCTCCCCTTCCTGAAACCTCCCCCGCGGCTGTCGACCAATGACGATCACCGGGTCAGCTCCAATCTCGATGCAGTCATCGGGCAAGAGCATGAACTCCCTCTCGGTCCAGCTACCCTCCCCCCCTCCGTTATCTCGATAGGCATGAACACTTCTTATTAGCTCTGCGCAGAAAAGAGGGTACGTACGTAGTAGAGACAAAGAGAATGCGGGGGGTTTGTACGCAAAAGGGTTAACAATACCTTGGTTGAGGATGTTTCTGAAAACAGCCAGAGCCGAGAGAGACTCCGATGAAGGTGATGAAGAGGAAGAGGAGCTCATTGTGAGGGAGTATTGGTACTGATTTGTGGGTAATTTCTTCATGTTAGAGAGAGAGAGAGAGAGAGCAATGAGAACGTGAAGAGGAGTGAAGTGAGGAAGAAGATGAGGAGGAGAAGCTCAAACGTAATGGTGATGCCGCTGGCGACGCTCTGTTTTCTTTGAAATGAGACAACTTTTTGAAGTGGTTTTTGTCGCTTGCAGTTAGCTTCCTAGAACAGTTTTCAGTGAGATTGTGCTTTGGGTTTAAAAGTGACACGTTTTTTAATTGAAGGGTTATTTATATATTTTAGTTTTTAATCTCTTTCACTCCCCCCCCCCGTTAGGGCATGTTTGGATCTTTTTTGGTAAACCATGCAATAGGTGCAGTAATAACTAAACCAATGGTCCGACTAGACCAGGAACATCATTCCGAAATAGAGTCATTTGCTGGGAATTAGCTAGAGGCTGCCGACTGAGATTTTTGGCTGCCACATCAGTCCCCTATTGGTCCAAACAAACAAAGTAAAAGTTGTAATGTTGTTGTAGTCTGATAGCTACAGTAGATTTCAAGCCAAAAATACTCTCAATTCCTTCAGAGATATTAAACCAGTAGAAATGGCAGATTTTGGTTTTAATTTGGTTTTAGAATATTTTCAATTTAATTTTGAATGTATAGTGCTTCAAATTGAAGGGACTGAACAGAATCCTCTCACCTCAATTCTCTAACCGGTATTTGCTAAACTCAATATATCAGATCATAAGCTAAATTGATTAGACAAAAGTTTTTTAGGGAAGATGGATGAAAACCTTTTCTTGCTTTTGACTTCGGCTAAAATGGTATGTTTTTAGTTGGACCGCTCCAGGACCAAACTGAACAAATCAAACTATATGTATACCAATTTGAGCCAATCAGATTCGGTTCGGTTGGTTTTGATAAAAAAACAGTTAAAGTCAAATGAAGATAAAATAAGATGCCCTCACTCTTTTCTCACCCTTATTCTCGCCAACCCTTCGCTCTTTCGTAATTCACCATTAGCACCAAAAGAATTAAATATAATTAACATCAAGTAGCAGTAATTATTATTTTTTGTTCTGCCTCGAGGATGTTAAAATGTTGGTCAAATGTAGAATGGTGATAGTAACTGAAGTATTAATGAAGCCAACGGCCAAGATTAAGACCGGTCTAACTTTCAATTAACAACCGCCGAATACAGTGGGGGGCCCACGTGTACATTTGACTGGGCGACATAAAATCCACTTTTACCCCCACATTAGGGGTTATTTTTGGCCCGTTGGAATTTACAGCACAAGTGCCATTAGCGTGCGCTTGTCATTAATTAAATGGGATTTAGACAAAGAAGCAAGAGGAAGCTTGTGGAGTTCGTTAGGGAAATTTGTCCCTTTGTTTAGAGAGAGAGAGAGAGAGAGAAAAGTGTTGCTTACACGTCGAGCTTCTTGTTTTTGGTAGGAGGAAGTGGCAACCGCCGACCCCCTTAGTTAGCGCTTGCACCGGTTGAGACCTCTACCAATTTCTATCTTTTGAGTTCAATAAGAAAATAATTGATGCGTAAGAGAAATAGACTGAACTATCCAGCGGACCATGTTTACTGGGGCTGTTTGGTTGGTTTCCTAAAATCCAAGAATAGGAAATTGGGTCATGGAAATCTCAAAAACATCAATTTTCTCTATTTCCATCCCTAAAACTCATCGCAACATCCAATAAAATATTATTTTCATCTAACAATTCATCCACTTTATCTAATAAAATATTATTTTCATCCATCAACTCATCTCATATCATCTCCTTAAAAAAACACAAGAAATGGGTCATCCAACTCATCTCATCTTTAAAAATCACACACATCATCCAATAATATGGTGACAACTCATCTCATCTCATTAACATTTTATTTCCTCCCATTACATCAAAAAAACCAAGGAAATTGGTTTACTTAAGTGTGGATCACATCATCCAATAATATAATGACAACTCATCTCATCTCATCTCTTATTTTTAAGAATGAACCAAACATAAGAGAAGAACCTATTATAGGAAATAGGTTTCTTAAATTCATTTCCTTTTTTTTAACCAACCAAACAACTTCAAAACAAGTTTCCTTAAAAATCACTCACATCGTCTAATAATATGGTGACAACTCATCTCATCTCATCTCCTATTATATGATTTCCTTCTTTTTTTAGCCAACCAAACAACCATAAAACAATTTTTTTAAGAAACAGGTTTCCTATTTTTTTATTTCCTTCTTTTTTTAGGGGCTATTCGTTTCGCAAAAAAAATTGAGAAATCAAAGAATAGGAAACCTATTTCCTATAATAATTGTTTTGAGGTTGTTTGGTTGGCTTAAAAAAGTTCCTAAGGTGACACCTTAGATAATCATCTAAGGACGTGGCCTAAAATCACATGATTGAGCTATATTGTGGATGATCTGCTCCGTTGAACTTTATCTACATATTCTAAAACCCTAATATACCAAGTTTGGGGTGAATCCATCGTCATTTGACCCTCCGTCGAGCCATGTGAAAAGTTTTATTCATTCGAAACCGTTAAAATTGGTACGTGTGGATGAAGGGTCAAACGATGACGGGTTCACCCCAAACTTGGTGTGTTGGGGTTTTAGAATATGTAGATTAAGTTCAACGGAGCGGATCATCCACAATGTAGCTCAATTATGTGATTTTAGACCGCGTCCTTAGATGATTATCTGAGGCGTCACCTTAGGAACACTTCTCCCTATATATATATATATATATATATATAAAATTTTTTTTTTAACTCTTTCTTTCTTGGTGATTTTTTTCTACTTTAACGGGCTTTCTAAGTGACCATTTAACGAGTTTTGGGCCAATGGATCCCAACCCAAATGGGCTTAGGTCATTAAGTATGGAAATACTCCTTGGGCTTAATTACTCGGTCAGCTTAGGCTTTATAAGATAGAATCACATTGAATTCAAGAGTTTTTTTTTGTGCCCATTTTTCGCACTCTTCTTTTGCAATTTTTTTTTTTTTGTATATGTATATATATTTTGAAAATATGTAAATCAAGACACTTTGAAAAATTATTTTCAACTCTAAGTTAAGCATGCAAAAATTTCATTATTTTAAATAAAAATCCAAGTTAAGGCTTAAGTAAAGTCTACTACTTTGAAAATCATTTCTTAAGAAAATTATTTAGAGTTATCATAAAAGGTGAGCTTAAGTAAATAACTAACTAGGGATTAGAAATTTTCAAATTTATCAAATAAATCAATTATTACATAACTCTATCAATTTGGCAAGTGACGATATTTTTATAAAAATTTTTTTTAAATAAAGAGAAAAAATAACTAATTCCCACCCCCACACCTAAATTTTGCATTGTCCTCAATGCAAACTCTATGATGCATAAAGTAAAGCAGATAAGAAGTGAAGCACTTACATTTGGTCGGCTGATAAAAATCTGCAATTACCTTTGGTCTGAGGAGGATGAAAAAAAAAAATTTATTCTTTTTTTTTCTCTTTTTTTTTCTTTTCTTTTTTTTTCTTTTTTTTTCTTTTCTTTTCTTTTTTTTTTCTTTTTTTTCTTTTTTTTTCTTTCTTTTTTTTTCTCTTTTTTTTCTTTTTTTTTACAACTGAACAAGAAACTCTCACATGAGAGAAGAATAAATTCTTTTTATTGTTCTGAAATAAACAAAATAAACAATGTAGAATAAAATATTCAACATGAAGAGTTCTTGTTCTACATTGAATCCTACCTTATTGCTGAAAATTCTCCCACGGATTTTAAATAAATTCAACATGATATAATCAACAATGTGCTGAAATTCTAAGCATTCCGGGGTGTTCAATGATTTTTGTGGCAATGGAAGGTAGGTATTATTGGTGTCATGCATATTGGACTCAGATTCTTGATTTGTGAATGTGTGTTCTCTAACAACCAATTTTTCTTTAACAATTTTCTCAACCCCAAGATTCATGGTTGATGTGTAAAAATTTGGTTGTTGTTTATTTTCCAAAAATCTTAGTTCATCAAGAAAGAGTTTTTCAAAATTCAGTTCAAAGCAGCAATTGTCCAACACAGTTTCTTTATTTTGACAAACCCGATCTGCTTCTCCTAATATTTTTAGCTCCTCACCGAAAATTTCCTCAAAACTTAGATCTGACTCTTCTTCTTCTTCCCTCGGTCTTTCCTGAATTGAATTATCAGGGGAAGAATGAATTGGAACAAGAATTTGGCTTAAAGGTGTTCTTTCCTGATTATCGACCTGTTTTCCTGACTGTAGTGCATTCATTTGAGTGTCCTTAGGATTGACCACGGGTTGACTCAGAATTTCTCCTTCCTCTACTTCACTTATGGCACTAGCTAGTTGATCAATATGGGTTTCTAATCTAGCTAGGGCTTGAGTGTTAGAGTTAAGTATGAGTTCGGTTGATTGCATAAAGGAGTTCATCGTGTAGGATGTTTGAGTTAACATATCCATGGCTAGTGTGGAGGCCTTAATTATGATTTCAAAACCTTTTTCCAAAATATTGAGACGTTCATCATGATCTGTATCAAGAGGAGTGTGAGTTACAACTTGATGATGAGGAGACTGATTTTGATGTGACAGATTGGGTTGTTGAAATTGTGGATGAGAATTGAAAGGAACTGTATTACCCCTAGGACAATGTTGGTTCAAAGAGGGAGTGAAGTTTTGAGTTCCAGAGTGGTTTTCCTGATTCCATGCAATGTTTGTGTAACTTGCCCAACCTGGGTTGTAGGTTGGAAAAAATGGATCATTTACCGAATACTGATATGGACTCTCTACAAACTCCCGGACTTCATTGGAAATTTCAATCCTATTGGGATAACATAAATTTTGAAAAACTTGTGGATTAGCCATTTGTTCAAAATGAATTTGTTGATGTGTATTGTCCCTAATCCACGTTTTGCATGCACCAAAAACAATTACTTTTTATATAATTTTTTTTTGTTTTGGAAAAATAAAAGTTAGTTTTAATTTTCATTTTGTTGTGTAAAAGAAGTCTTATAAAAAAGCTATTTCTTTTGAATTTATTGTAATATAATGAATTCCACAACGAGAGCAACTTTTGACGCAAACAAACTGGCGACCACAGTGGGAGCCAACGGTCTCGTTGTCGAGACCGTCGTGTCGCAGCCGATTAAGATTCCAGTTGAATCCATGGTCGAATACGAATTCGACCAAACCAAATTTGAGGAATATCTCTC